ATATATATTATATATATATATATATATATATATATATATATATATATATATATATATATATATATATATATATATATATATGTATATATATATATATATATATATATATATATACATATATATATATATATATATATATATATATATATATAGAGAGAGAGAGAGAGAGAGAGAGAGAGAGAAATTCAGGGCCGGCGCGAGTAGGTCCTAGTTTTCCAAAATATGCCGACTGCCTTGACGACATTTGCCGACTGTCTAGATTATCGACTAACCTATATCGAAAGGTTCGACAATTGCCGACTTACTAGTCTAAAGGGTCTAATTTGCCGACTAAGGGTCCAATTTGCCGACTAAAAATCATTGATGAGGGGTGTCACACACCCCTCGCACTAAATTTAGACGTTTAAAAATGTAAAAGCTTTTTCTAGATTTGATAGACGTCAAAAATACGTTTATTCGAGGTCGAAAATATGTTTGAACTTCGACATTTTAAAAAAGGTTTGTTCTAAACGATAATCTGGATTTCATTCAGAACGCAAAAACGATCAAAACTAAATGTTTTGTCTAAACGTTGTTTCAACGTTTTATAGAAGTTTATGTGTTTATTGGGTTTGATAGTATTTCCAAAAAACCTAAGCTATGTACGCAAGAAAATTTTAAATGATCACCCATTTTGATAAAAAAATTTAGCAACAAAAAAACTTTTTTTTTAGTTATAAGAAATTATTTTTCTTCATTAATATTGTTGAAATTCATTATAACCGTAGTAGAAATTGACCGTATGCAATATTTTGACTTTTTAGTGTACAGATTTTCAAAGTTTTTACGCGCGTAAACTATTTAAAAAAATATTTTTTTATATGGCGTTAAACTAAATTCTCATTTTCATATGGCGTTAAACTAAATAATACCAGGTAAAACATGACGAAAACTAACAAAAACGTTCTATGTTAACTACTACATTTACATATTATTTATCATTTAAATTGTAAATTGTAAACTTTAATAACATTAAAATTATCTAATACAATAAACGGTTTATTATCATGAGAGCAGCAATTACTTAATATTTTAATTAAACATTCCAAACAATTCCTATTAAAAAACGGTTTTCAATCCCCATAGAGAATACTTATTATTTTAATCATTTAAACGAGCTGAACAAATATATATATATATATATATATATATATATATATATATATATATATATATATATATATATATATATATATATATATATATATATATATATATATATATATATATATATATATATATATATATATATATATATATGTATATATAAATATATATATATATATATATATATATATATATATATATATATATATATATATATATTTTTTATTTGCATTCACTCCCAACAAGGCTGCAAGCAACCACTATTAAGTTGGGAGTTACTAGGAAAAAAAAAAGAACAGAGTTATAGAGCAAAGAAACGGTTGACAGAAGACTTGAAAAGTTGAAGGTTGTATGAGTCAGGAAAACATGAAGATGGGAGAGAGTTCCAAAGGATTGAAGTGCGGGGAAAAAAACTAGATGAATAAAAGTTTTTAAAGCATGCAGGGACAGATACAGTAAACGAATGAGACTTAGCTGAATGACGAGTAAAACGAGAATGAATTTTAGTTGATGGAACTAGAGATGATAACTCCTTTGAGCAGTGACCATGATAGTATCTGTAGAAAAGAGAAAGAGATGCAACTTTACGACGATGGAAGGTTCAAGCTTAGCAGATAGTCCAGGTCCAACAACATTTACAATGCGTTTTTGGACCTTGTCAAGAAGAGAAAGTGAATCGTTAGAAGAACCAGCCTAAATATGACAACAGTATTCCATACAGGGACGAATAAAAGATTTGTAGAGGTAGAGAATGGAATCAGAAGTACGGAAATGGCGAGCACGATAAAGAGAAGCAACCTTAGCAGAAGCTAATTTAGCAATCGATTGTATATATGGTTTCCATGAAAAGTCAGTAGTAAGCGATAATCCAAGAAGACGTAAAGAGGAGGACTCAGTAAGAGGATTGCCATTCATTAATATAGGAATGTTGACCATATTACGGTAGTTGTTTGCAGTAAGCAATTGGGTTGTTTTAGAGTTGAAATTCACAAGCCACTGTGAACCCCAATCTATTACTGAAGTGAGATCAGATTCAAGATCAGCTGCTTGTTCTAGGCGATCGAAAAGAGAAGACCTTTTGTCAAGACAGGAGTATAAAGTTGAGTCATCAGCAAAAAGAGCTACTTTAGATGAAAGGTTGTCAGGAAGATCGTTTATGTAGATAAGAAACAAAACAGGGCCCAGGATGTATATATATATATAATTTACTTACTAAATAAAATAATAATCAAGAAAATTAACAGCTAGTTCAATTTTTTTTTAATAAATGCAGTATAGGATAAAAGATTTCTTGAACAGCTTGCAATATTATTTTTTGTTGACATTGTATATGGATGGTTGATACCTAAAATTTCAGTTAGTATTTTATCAACAGAATAATAAATTTCTAAAGCTTCGTTAAATTTTCCCATAGCGTACAAACAGCTTGCGATATTATTTTTTGTTGACATTGTATCAGGATGGTTGATACCTAAAATTTCAGTTTGTCTTTTATCAACAGAATAATAAATTTCTAAAGCTTCGTTATATTTTCCCATAGCGTACAAACAGTTTGCCATATTATTTTTTGTTGTCATTGTACCTGGATGGTTGATACCTAAAATTTCAGTTCGTATTTTATCAACAGAATAATAAATTTCTAAAGCTTCGTTATATTTTCCCATAGCGTTCAAACAGCTTGCGATATTATTTTTTGTTGACATTGTATCTGGATGGTTGATACCTAAAATTTCAGTTCGTATTTTATCAACAGAATAATAAATTTCTAAAGCTTCGTTATATTTTCCCATAGCGTTCAAACAGTTTGCGATATTATTTTTCGTTCCTATTGTATCTGGATGGTTGATACCTAAAATTTCAGTTCGTATTTTATCAACAGAATAATGAATTTCTAAAGCTTCGTTATATTTTCCCATAGATTTCAAACAGTTTGCCATATTATTTTTTGTTGACATTGTATCTGGATGTTTGATACCTAAAATTTCAGTTCGCATTTTATCAACAGAATAATAAATTTCTAAAGCTTCGTTATATTTTCCCATTGCATTCAAACAGCTTGCGACATTATTTTTTGTTCTCATTGTATCTGGATGGTTGATTCCTAAAATTTCAATTTGTATTTTATCAACAGAATAATAAATTTCTAAAGCTTCGTTATATTTTCCCATAGCGTTCAAACAGCTTGCGATATTATTTTTTGTTGTCATTGTATATGGATGGTTGATACCTAAAATTTCAATTCGTATTTTATCAACAGAATAATAAATTTCTAAAGCTTCGTTATATTTTCCCATAGCTTTTAAACAGATTGCGATATTATTTTTTGTTTTCATTGTATCTGGATGGTTGATACCTAAAATTTCAGTTCGTATTTTATCAACAGAATAATAAATTTCTAAAGCTTCGTTATATTTTCCCATAGCGGACAAACAGATTGCGATATTATTTTTTGTTTTCATTGTATCTGGATGGTTGATACCTAAAATTTCAGTTCGTATTTTATCAACAGAATAATAAATTTCTAAAGCTTCGTTATATTTTCCCATAGCGGACAAACAGCTTGCGATATTATTTTTTGTTGACATTGTATCTGGATGGTTGATACCTAAAATTTCAGTTCGTATTTTATCAACAGAATAATAAATTTCTAAAGCTTCGTTATGTTTTCCCATATCGTTCAAACAGTTTGCGATATTATGTTTTGTATCAGTTGTGAATTTATTATTCTCTCCATATGTTTCTGCATTAAATTTTTTAATACTTTTTAATATTTTGATTGCTTCTTGAAATAAACCTTTACATACTAATAGATTTTTAATAGATGTCGTCGTCTGATGGAAGGTTTTCGACATTCTTTTTTTGTTAATACGAAACATGTGGAAAAAATGAAATATAAAATGTTTACCGTGATCAACGTGAGCTTTTACTTCGTTTAACTCAAATTGAAAATATTTTTCCATAAGATAAAAATATGTGTTTGTACTTGAGTTTTTGTTTTGAAAATATTTACACGACAACTGTGTCAGTTCGTGCATTGAATATTTTTCATCATCCAAACGATCTAGTAAAGAATAACTTATTAGTAATCCAACGGCTTCATCTATTAAATATTCTTCATTTACTGTCATTTGTTTTAAGATTTGAGTGATAAATTCTTTATTTATGCTTTGACCATTACAATAAGATAAGCAGTTGAGTAATTTTAATGGAATAATTTTTTTTCTTTCTAATTTTATTAACACTAAATTGATTGCTTTTATAGCAGACTTTGATTCTTCTTCCGTTTGAAAGTATTCATCATCTAGTATTTCTATAGGATTTGATTTATATCGATCTATATATTTTTGTGTGGAAATTTTATGTATTTCTATATATTTTATTGCTTGAGTAATAGCAAACGGATGATAACTAAGTTCTTTAATTAGGTTTTTTATATTTTCGTCGGTGTTTTCTTTTATACTATTTTTTACGTACTCGAAAGCCTCTTTACAAGAAAAAACATCGATTAACATTTGATTTACTTTATTTGACCACCTTCTCCATTGAGTTGTGATTAAAGTAAATGAATTCGGTTTCTTTGAAATAAACATTCTCAAATTTCGAACGCTTTCATCGTCGACATTGTCAAAAATATACAGAGTTTTTTCGTTTTTATAATAGTTGTGAATTTTCTCAACAATAACTTCTATATTAAAAGAATTGCCTTGAGAATTTTGATCAACAAATCCTAATAATTCATAAAGATTTCTCATTGAAGTATGTAATTTTCCAAATCCTGCATCTATCCAAACAAAATGTTTATAAAAGTCATGATGAATTTCACAATATTTTCTGGTAAGTTGTGTCTTCCCAGCACCAGACATTCCGTACAATACTAAAGTTGAGTTTCTATTATCTTGTAAATCGTTGAAATATTGATGAATTTTCGAAAGTTCTTTTTCTCGCATAAAGAACATATCTGCAGTTGGTTGAACACCAAATATTGAACGGACAGTAAGCA